AAGCTAGCGATTAGTAAGACTCGTTAATAATATACCCCCGATGCTCTTCAATTTTTTTAAAATTTTATTTCAAGGTGAGAAATGGATAATTGAAGTTCCATCGATTTCAAGGCGACTGTTTCACCGCGACAACTCTATGCCGTGTTGTAGTTTCGCAAGCTAAAACAAAAATATAGATATAATAAATAGTACTTGTTTAATTATTTGGTTTTACAGCCCGCAAATTACGGGACATGATCCCCATGAATTACGATAAATAAATGCTGATTGTGTTGAATGACGGACGTCGGGACCGTTTGGAGAAACCAACGGGGATATTCCAAACAAATTATTGGGACACGGTCGGTAGACAGTTCAAACAAATGAAATTATTAACGAAAGACGAGATTTTTTACAGATATTTACGAACATACTGTCATACTAAATATATGCAAAATTGACAAATACACAAAGAGATATTAGGTTTTATTTTAGCCTTGGAAATACATGCTAACCTAGATTGTGGGATGTACATTGTACATGCTAACCTAGATTGTAGGAAGTACATGCTAACCTAGATTGTAGGAAGTACATTGTACATGCTAACCTAGATTATAGGAAGTACATGCTAACCTAGATTGTGGGATGTACTTGCTAACCTAGATTGTGGGATGTACTTGCTAACCTAGATTGTGGGATGTACATGCTAACCTAGATATAGGAAGTACATGCTAACTTAGATTGTAGGATGTACATGCTAACCTAGATTGTAGGAAGTACATGCTAACCTAGATTGTAGGAAGTACATTGTACATGCTAACCTAGATTGTAGGAAGTACATGCTAACCTAGATTGTAGGAAGTACATTGTACATGCTAACCTAGATTATAGGAAGTACATGCTAACCTAGAATGTAGGAAGTACTTGCTAACCTAGATATAGGAAGTACATGCTAACCTAGATTGTAGGAAGTACATTGTACATGCTAACCTAGATTGTAGGAAGTACATGCTAACCTAGATTGTAGGAAGTACATGCTAACCTAGATTGTAGGAAGTACATTGTACATGCTAACCTAGATTATAGGAAGTACATGCTAACCTAGATTGTTGGAAGTACATTGTACATGCTAACCTAGATTATAGGAAGTACATGCTAACCTAGATTGTAGGATGTACATGCTAACCTAGATTGTGGGATGTACTTGCTAACCTAGATTGTAGGAAGTACATTGTACATGCTAACCTAGAATGTAGGAAGTACATGCTAACCTAGATTATAGGAAGTACATGCTAACCTAGATTGTAGGAAGTACATGCTAACCTAGATTGTGGGATGTACATGCTAACCTAGATTGTGGGATGTACTTGCTAACCTAGATTGCAGGAAGTACATTGTACATACTAACCTGTCAGACCAATCTG